CTTTTCTCCTTATTTCTGGAAAAATAAGAGGATTGTTCTCTGGATCTCCACCAACTGAAATCAAGAGTTCAGCTGGTCCTTCAAGCAAAGATTCGAGCATTGCAGAGGAGTTCTCTTTGTGCTCGAGGAAGTTTAGAAATCTGTTCCTCCACATTTGATATTCTCCCTTCCTGAGGCTAGGAGGGGTACTGCTGTTCCCTTGTGCATTGTATTCTGAACCCATTGCTGTATTAAACTGACCGTTCGAGAAAATTGATCAAAAGATTTTCAGAGGCAGAAAGTCGAAAAATCAGATGTCGAGATCTGAATGTCGAAATCTCAAATTTCGATAAAGGAGGCCCGGTATCGAGATTTGGGCTCGAGATTAGAGATCTCGAGATTTCAAATTTCGAGATGCTGATCTCGAGATTTGAAATGTCGAGAAGTTAATCTTTCGAAATCTTAATCTGATAAGTCAAATGTCGAGACCAGATGTCGAATCCTTTTTTCGAAATCAAGATTTCGAAATCCTAGATGTCGAAATCCTCAATGTCGAAATCCTGCAACCTGTAAAAATCAGATAAACAAAATCTGAAGGTAGTTTCCTGTAGAGTTGAATGTCGAGATCTTCTGGTAAAGTTTTCAGCTCGAAAAACGTAGCAGAACCTGTGAAGAAGTAGGATGTCGAGATGCCTAGCTCGAGATATCTCGAAATCTAAAAATGCGTAAAACACAAACTGAAGTATACCCTTTGATCGCTTTGAAAAGGCGATTCCAAAGGTGTAACTTTTACAACTTTTGAACAAGAAACAAAATTACAGAGCAAAAAATCGACAGAATGAACTACGTTAACAAAAACAGAGTATTCTGCAGGAGTTCTTCTGATCGTTCTCGATCGGCTCTGATACCAATTGTTAGTCCCTGTTTCTGTAACAGCAATGAATAATCGATCTAACAAGGAAGATTAAACGTAAATATGAACACAGAATGAATCACCGTAAAACCTTCTTTGATAAACCGTGGAACGTACAGCAGAATGATAAGCGTAAGGCTATGAATAATAAGTACGACGTTCAACCTTTTCCTAAACCTCGGCTCCCTTTTTATAGGCGAGATTTAGGTTAGGCGTACCAAGCTTTTGGCCTGTTTAAATGGGCCTAACACTTGGCCTGATTTCTATCTAATTTATGCACTATTTAAATACAAGGATTAAATATAAAGCTAATCTATGACCAACTTGATTCACAATTAAATATCTCCAACAAATATTCCCAACAATCTCCCCCTTGGTGATCAATCGTGTTGAATCAGCATTGCAGCGCAGATATCTTTGTCTTTGTTGTTATTGAGCTTCCTTTGTCTTTGAACTTGACTTCTGAAGAAGGCTATCTGAAGAAATCCTTGCAATCTCCCCTTTGATGTCTTCTTGACAATTTGATCTTTGATGTCGGGGGTTGAGGGACCTTCAGTATCTTGCATGTAGTCCTTTCCTTCCAGAAGCTGCTCTTGATCAGCTTGGATGAAGTCCGGTGACGCCTCTAGAATGAATATTCTTTGGAAAATAGGAGACGCCCATGGAATTCATCTTCAGGACACAAGTATTTGACCTCTGTCTCCTCCATAATGTAGTCTTTTTGACTATTTGGAATGAATGCTTTAGAGGAGAACTTGTCGGTGGCACAGCGGAACATAATGATGGTTGACTTGTGAGCGTAGCTGACCATTTGAGTTGCGGAGATAGTATAGAGAGTGTTGGAGGAGAGAAGTGTCCCAGAATGATTTTTTTTGACAGTTAACAGCATGTGGACAACTCTCCCCCTCATGACGATCCGATAACTCGGGGCATCATGCCTTTATTCTTTTATTCTGCAGAAATAAAACCAGGAAAAACAAGCAGAATGTAAAGAAGATAACGTAGCCCCCCGGGGTCGTGAAGACGCCCGTTATCATCACTATAGAGATAAACTCTAAAGTAATGACCTGAAAATGTTGGTGATTCTGGTGTTGCAACAGCAGGACTTCCTTCCAATTATTGGTCTACATCTGTAATAGATGAGCCCTATGGAAGTTCTCGCGGGTCATGTAGACCTGCAACTGACTCTAAAAGTGCGTCTGTGTCTTAGAAAATTTCAAAACATTTGGGAGTGAGTAACTAGACACAACGTGATCAATGAAAGTTCAGTGGCATGGGGCTGAGGCCACTGTAGTCAGTATTACTTGCCTCGGAAGGAGATAGTAATGAGAGATGCGGTTCCCCGTGAAATATGATTAAACACCTATCTGTTGGGAGACAAGTGAGTGGTCTTGGATAGGGTTCAACATGCACTGTTGGACAAGATGCAGTGACTTCTACCTGGGATCTGATTAAATCAGTCCTGAACCTATTTGGGAATTGTCCAGAGTATTTGAGTGGCTAGGAGTAAATGTTCAATACATAGCAGGCAGTTGAGGTAGCAGACTCATCATTGATTATTGTTTTACTTCTCACTTGAGCCTTCTGCTTCCTAATGCTCATAATTTTCACTCACTCACTTGCTCACTCACTCACTTGCGCTTGGCTTTGTCCCTTGGGTAGGCTTAGTTGGGTTTACTAAGCCATAGGGACATGTTCTCTCATTACTTTCTTCATTTTCTCTCTGTACTCCCCCTCAACTGGAGCACTCGGTATGCTTTGTCATTGTTAGGCACCGGGAAGGATAACATTGATCACTCCCCCTAGAATGTTGCATCCGTTGAGAGATTCCTTGCTTTGTCAATGTAAGGCGCCAGGAGGAGAAAACTGAAACTCCCCCTCAGAATGTGCAAGGTTTGATTGCTCACAGCTTGTCATACCCGCCATGTGTGTGGAGCAATCTGAACAAGTACCACACATGACGGTTCCCTGAGCTCACCATGTAGAATTTCAGCATATTGAAGATTACATAATGTTGATGAGACATGTGAGGCTTCAGCAGTTGATTGTTGATTGTTGTAAGATGACCGTTGACGTGAGGTTGATTGAATTATCTACGATTTTCGGACCTTTACAGTTAGGTTTAGAAAATATTTGACCTCAGGGTTGACTTTGAAAGAATTTGAACAGATTTGTCTAAGTTTTGACCTGGACATCGGTGATTGACAATGTTTATCGGAAAACTAACGTTTTGACCCTCAAAGGCTGAGAGTGAGGGCGCGTGAGATTGGGTTCTGGGGCATATCCCGAGAATTAATGTAGATCTTTGAGTTAGCTTTCCAACAAAAAAAAGTTTGCTCAAATCGGATCACCGAGTCAAAAGTTATGGCCAAAACAGTGCGGTGTCGCATAAAATCTCTAATTTTGAGTTTTTGAGTAAAATCTTCGAGGTTGAGGTTCTCGATGTTGAATTTCGAGAGTAGGTGAATTTAAACAAAATTCTAAGGCAAAAACTCGAAATCCAAATCTGGAGATTTTAATTTCGAGTTTGCCTTGAAGAGTAATGATGAAATCCACCTGCAAAACAGACCTCAGAATAACGAAATCTTTAGAATTTCAAAATGTTTGGAACCTCGAAAACTTTGGAGTTTCGAAAAACCTCATAATATCGAAAACTTGCTGTTTGAAAAACATCAGAACATCGAAAACTTCTAAAACTTTGATAAACAGGGAATCATTCAGATATCTAAAATGTAAAGCTTCGATGAACTGCAAAGGATGTCAAGATTCGAATTATGAGTTCCAAGAAACTGCAAACTTTGAAAGATTCAAAACATCGAGAAATTCCGAAAATTCTGAAATTTTTTAGAATGTCGAAATCCAAAACATCGAGTTCCTAAAACTCGAAATAAATTCCAAAACTCGCAATTCCAAAACTCTCAAATTTTAAAAACTCGAGGTTTAAAACTCGAGGTCAGAACTCGAGGTTTAAAACTCGAGGTCAGAACTCGAGGTTTAAACTCGAGGTCAGAACTTGAGGTTTAAACTCGAGGTCAGAACTCGAGGTTTAAAACTCGAGGTCAGAACTCGAGGTTTAAAACTCGAGGTCAGAACTCGAGGTTTAAAACTCGAGGTCAGAACTCGAGGTTTAAAACTCGAGGTCAGAACTCGAGGTTTAAAACTCGAGTTGAAGACCACGAGTTTACAACTCGAGTTGAAGACCGCGAGTTTACAACTCGAGTTCATGACTGCGAGTTTAAAACTCTCGATTTTTAAAAACTCTCGAATTTTGAGAATCTGAAAACTGTTCTGAATAGCCCTGAAGGTCTATTCCTGTATCTGTTTCAAGTCAAAATCGTTTCTGCAGCAGTGAAAAAGCATAAACTCGCAATTCATGTAGAGTTCTACGAAAAATGAAAATTTGCAGAAATCGAAAAAGAGTATATGCTGCTGGATCGGCTTTGAAGGGCGAATCCAACAGTGTAATTTTTACAGATTTTCATTCACAAACAAGATTACAGGAGCAAAACTCTATATGAAGAGAAACAGAAGAAAAGCAGAGCATTCTTCGTTAGATCCAAGAAAATCACAGATACATTCAACCTGTTTCACGCCTCGGCTCTGATACCAATTGTTAGACCCAGTATACTTAACAAACAACAAACATAAGCAGTGAAGAAGAAGCAGATAGAAAGATATGGAGAAAATCAAACGAATCTGGTATACCGTGTAAACTGGCCGCTGCTCTCCCTGGAGAAGGAGAGCAGCGGCAAACCCTATCTCTCTATCTCGCCTCTGCGCCTCTAAAGCCTCTTTTCGATAATTAGGGTTCCCGTAAGTTAGCCTCCTTTTATAGGAGAAGTTGGCTAACTTACGGGTTACAAGGAAGCCCCCGGGCTGATACACATTTGTGGCCCGTATTACACATTTAATTGATAACTACACAAATACAAAGATAACTAACTAGATTGAACACCATAAAATATTCCCAACATGTTGTAACTCTTGTGAGACAGGTAAATAAGCAAACTCGGTGTTTTAGAAGTTTTGATAAGATTCTTCAGTTGCTTGCTATGTTTTTTATTATTTTTTTGAAACACGTTATGATTATCACTTCATTTCTTATTTTCAGGGACATGATCTTGTAATTGGGAATGTTGGGGACTCTAGAGCCATATTGGGTACAAGAGATAAAGGAAACTCTATTATTGTTATGCAGTTGATTGTTGATCTCAAGCCTAACCTTCCAGGTATAGATATATGTTGTATTCATGTTTCTGCCTTCATGTTGCTACTTGCTCTGCTTTCTGGAACTTTATGAATTTGCGTGTTTGGTAAGGCTTAAAATGACTACCAAATTATATTGGCTCATTTGCTAAACTTGCTGTCAACAACAAACAACAACATCCAAGCCTTAAGGCCCTTAATCCAAAAAGATTTTAGGGCTGGCTAACATGAACCGATACATCATATTGGAGTCAAAAGCAAAAGAAAGACAAGAAAGATAAAAAGATAAGGTATGATAAAAAAGAAAAAAAAAAGAAAATATAATATAGAATTAAGATATACATAAAAATGATAAGGTAAAAGGATAAAAAGACTATGTATAAAATAAAAAGATAAAAGGGTAGAAGAAGATAAGAAAGATAATGGGAGATCAATCCATCACACGAATACCCTTCCTCCACTTTGCTGGACTTGCTGAAGCTGAATGGTTGAATTAGCTGAAGTTGAATTTTCAAAAATTTATTTAATTAAGTTGAGAATATAGCATGAAAAAGAGCTAAATTGCACTTCCCCTTCATAAATCTAATAGCGGAAGCAGAGAGGATAGAGAAGTGTAAAGGACATGTATTTGCTCTTCATGACGAGCCTGAGGTTGCAAGAGTATGGCTACCAAATACAGATTTTCCAGGCCTTGCCATGGCACGTGCTTTTGGATATTTTTGTCTCAAGGATTTCGGTCTCATCTCTGTACCCGAAGTTTCATACAAGTGTTTAACAACCAAAGATGAATTTGTTATCTTGGCAACAGATGTGGTATAAACCCTGCTCCTGATTCTTCAGATGGAAAACTGCACTTTTAATACCCCAGTCATACCCTCGGTATACTTTTAGACTTTATCCTCCAACAACTATCATTACCATTTTTAATCTCCAGTTAAGTGGCTATTTTAGTGTCTGGAGGACTAAAGAGCCACTTTGGGAAAACTGAAGGACTAAAAATGGTAAAGGTGATCTTAGTTATATACTTATGTGGACTAAAAGCATTCCGAGCCTATAATTCAGGGGACTAGAAGTATCATTTTTCTTCTATTTATTCATAAATAGAACCCCTTATCTATCTACCTGTCTGTTTTTGTTTATTATTAATTAAGGTATATAATCACAAATATGGGATGTGCTATCTAATGAAGAGGTGGTAGAAATAGTGGATTCAGCGCCGACACGTTCATCTGTAGCTAACGTGGTGGTGGAGGCAGCAATTCGGTCATGGAGGAACAAACACCTGGCTTCTAGAGTTGACGAATGTGCTATTGTCTGCCTTTTCCTTGATGATACACACAACACATATGGTGCTGGTTCTACCTCAAATGAAAAGGTCAACTGGGTTCACAACCATGAGGAAGTTGTGGAAGAGTGGTCGTCTGACATTCACGGCGTGTCTCGTTCGGACACCATATTGACCTTGCAAAGAGCTTTGCAAGAAAACGGGGACAAAACCGCCTTAGGAACAATGATGAACAATCTATATAGTGGGCGATGCTAAGGACCAAATGTCTGGATTTACTTTTTTTTTAAAAACCCAATTTTAGTTTTGTGTTTTTTTACATATATACGGAGTATTATGGTATCTGTTACCATTGTATTCTTCTTCTTCTTCTTCTTCTTCTAGGATTGGGATTCTATTTGTACTAACCAACTACCATATTTTACGTGTATATACCACGTATTTCATGTTTGTAACGAGCACCGGGTAATGGGTATACATATTTGTGTTTGTAAGTATATTTTCATTCATCATAAAACTTATTCTTAATCTTTAGGTGTTATTTTATCTTTCCCTTCAAAGCACTTTTTTTCGCCCAATGTGCGCTAAGGTATATGGGCAATTTGAGGTTGTCTTGACTTCTTCAAGCAGGCAAAATTTATGAGAGATATGGGAGCGCAAGACACCAACTGGATATATATTGAGATGCATTATTACACTTTAAGTGTAGTCCAGCTTTGATCAAACAATTTTTTAAAGCTAGTTTGAAGGTATATCATTAACCTACGTGTTTCTAATAAAAGAAAAGATTACTATAAAAAAGGTTAACATATATCTTTTCAAGTAAAATAATGACCCAAGCTACCGATTCATGAAATGCATGAAGTATGCACTATGCTAATGTATCAAAAAGAAAACATAACATATTATACATGGAAATAATGTGAAGAGCATACCAATAGATTCCAATTCTTTTTTTATCAATCCTTAATTCAGTTCAAAGTAGCATGGAGTAACTTCCACAAATGTATAAATATAATGTAATCACATACTAACATATTGATAAAAGCATTCTAAGATACATGATTGTCAGGTTTTCACCTCTCCAGCTCAGACCACGCTCATACAGCACACACACCAAAGCACCACCGGAAGGGACAAGAACACTCAGGCCAACCCAACCATCTCAACGCACGCCAAAGGTCAGAAAAGGGGAAGCACGGAGAGAAAACCACAGAGGGACCGGAATGGAGAAGAGACTGAAGTCTCTCTCACTATTCTCTCTTAACCTCACTCTCTCTCTACCCGAAGACCTCAGCATCAACCAAAGACGAAGAGGGGCTTAAGTACCCGGGCAAGAGGGGAAGCCCTAAAGGAGGGTTCCAGAAGAAAGGCTAGCGGCAGAACAACTTGGGCCAGGGCAAGAGGCAAGCAAACAGGCCCAACAAGTGTGAAGAGGACTGCCTTGGCCCGTGGGGCCAATACCTCCACACTCTCCACCTTATTGGCCATCATTGGTGGTGCATGGTATCATAAAGTAACATGAGCACGTGGTTCATCATCGCTGGGTCACCAGTGATATCCTAAAGACATAACTGGCAAACAAATTGGAGATACACAAAATACTCCCAAAAGGAAATTGGAGAAGTACCCAAAGTACTCTCCCTAACCGTGAGAGCAGATTCTCTCAAGCACTACGCTTTCAAGAATCTACCCTCCAACATACCCAAAACCTGCAAAGAGAGTTAACCGCAGTCCAAATTTAAAATTCGTTTACAAGACAAAAGTTTTTCAGCAGATAGACACTTCGTCCCCATATCTGCAGGGTTGAACTCTGAGGGTATCTTGCACAGCTTCACCTTACCTGCATCTAAAGCATCACGAATAAAGTGGAACCTCACATCAATGTGTTTGGTCCTATCATGAAAAACAGGGTTTTTGCAAAGCTGGATAGCAGACTGGCTATCAGAAAACACAATAACATCTTGTTTAAGAAAACCTATTTCAACAACAAGACGACTTAACCAGATGGCTTCCTTGAAGGCTTCTGTAGCTGCAACATACTCAGCTTCAGTGGTTGATAAGGCAACAATTGGTTGTAACTGAGATTTCCAACTAATACAAGAACCACACAAAGTGAACACATAGGAAGTGGTAGATTTCCTATTGTCTTTATCATTAGCATAGTTAGAGTCAACATAACCACTCAGTTTCACACCTTCAATACACTTAGTAAAAATCAAACCATGATTTGCAGAAAATTTCAAGTATCTCAAAAGCCATTTCAAAGCATTCCAATGAGGCATACCAGGATTAGACATAAACCTACTCAAACAACTCCCAACATAGGCAATATCAGGTCTAGAACTAACCATCAGATACATCACAGAACCTATAGCATTAGAGTAAGGAACAGACTTCATAAGCTCAATTTCAGAGGCAGTCTTAGGAGACTGATTCTTACTTAGCACAAAATGAGAGGCAAGAGGAACATGCACAGGTGCAGCAGAAGACATATTAAACTTACTCAAAACCTTCTCAACATAAGAAATCTGATTTAGAACAAGAGTATGCTTGCTCCTGTCCCTAATAATGTTAATCCCAACTATCCTCTTGGCATCACCAAGATCTTTCATAGCAAAGTTCTCACAAAGACATTTTTGAACAGACATAATATATTTAAGACAAGGGCTAATAATCAACATGTCGTCGACATAGATTAACACGAACACAGGAACAGAATTAGTATTCTTGAAATAAAGACAATGATCACAGGCAGATTTCACAAATTTCATAGACTGCATACACTTGTCAAACCTAATATTCCACTGCCTAGGGGATTGCTTTAGGCCATACAAGGCCTTCCTAAGCAGACAGACATGGTCACTCCTCTTGGGATCCACAAAGCCCTCAGGTTGAGGCATGTAAATTTTCTTATCCAATTCACCATGCAGAAATGCAACGGTGACATCCATTTGTTTCATCTCTCAGTCATGGTGAGCAACCAAAGCCAACATGATTCTAACAGTAGTAAACTTAACTACAGGAGCAAAGATTTCGGCATAATCTACCCCCTCTTTTTGAGTAAACCCCTTGGCAACTAACCTGGCCTTATACCTAATGTTATTACCCGGTTCTTCCTTGACCTTAAACAGCCACTTTCACTCAACCACTGAGCTGGCATTAGGTCTAGGAACAAGGGTCCAAGTCTGGTTCACTCTTAGAGAGTCCATCTCACTTTTCATGGCCTCAAGCCATCTCTGAGACTCTCTGGACCTTATAGCTTCACTATAGGTCTTAGGTTCATTTAGACCATATATCTGGTCTGGTCTGTACTGGTCTGGTCTGGTTTCTTTGTATTTTTATAACTATCCAAGTCTGGTCTGGTCTGATCTGATCTGGTCTGGTCTGGAACGAATTATAGTCCAAGTAAAAACATCCATACTCATAAATAAGGTGATGACTAGGTGCATGGGCTTACTCCAAATGACTAAGGATGTTTTTACTTGGACTGTAATTTGCTGGTCTGGTCTGTTTTGGTCTGGTCTGGTCTGGTCTGTTTTGGTCTGGTCTGGTCTGGTCTGAAATTTTATTTTTATATTTTTTACATAAAGATTTTATTTTGTATATATATTATAATCCATAAATAATTATATTTTATTCATTTATAATTACAAATAACAATAACAACAACAACAATAATAATAAGGCTAAAGGGGCAAATAGGCCCCGGAACGTATACGAATTGCTCAATTGGCACCCTAAACCCAAAAAAGCTCCGATCGAATACACCAACCAAATTAATTACTTCAATCCCCCCATCCAACCGGTTACCTCCCGGTTGTCCCCCTTTCAACCAGAAACTGGAAGGTCGGTGGTTATCAGAGAGCTCCAAGCTACCATTAATGGCGGAAATCAGAGAGCTCTCAGCCGGTGGGGGTTCCCACGACATCGGACCAGATGGATGAGTGGTCAGTGGTTGGCCGCTGATGACGAACGGCGGTGTGGCGGCTGGAGGAGCCAACGACGAGCCACGAGCATCACTCCGGCGGGCGGCGTTTCTCCGGAAATGGAGCGGCGAGACCTGGGGCGCTTCAGAGAGCACCACTTGGTGCAGGTGGCCTTACCGGAGGGTTCACGGCGGTGCGAACGACGACGGTGGCTCCGGTGACCCTTGGTGATAACCCTTGGTGCGCAGTACTGTTCACAGGCGTAAGGGGGACAATCAGGAGGTAACCGGTTGGATGGGGGGATTGAAGTAATTAATTTGGTTGGTGTATTGGATCGGAGCTTTTTTGGGTTTGGGGTGCCAACTGAGCAATTCGTATACGTTCAGGGGCCTATTTGACCCTTTAGCCAAAAAATAATAATAATTAGGGGTGTGCACTAGCCGGTTTAAACCCCCTATGGGAACAGAGGGAAATCTATTAATCAGATAGGTGGCAGTGGTGACTGCTTCACCCCAAAACTTCTTAGGTAAATCTGAAGTAGACAACATACTC